TTCAACCACGAGAGGTGGATGTTCCTCGTCCAGGCCAACCGGGGGGCGCGCGTCTGCGTGGAGGAGCTGCGGAACACGGGGGTTTATCGTGAGGGAGGGCACGGGAGCAGAAAACCCTCAACTCTCCATCTTTTGCTCATGGATGACAAACACATCAGGTGTCAATGAGAGGGAACCTGCCGCCCAATAACCTCCAAGCCGGTGCCATCTCTTGTGGAAACTTGAAAGGGCAGGACATCGAGACCATGCAGGTAGGAGCAGTAGAGTGGAAGGCTCTAGTAGTAGACTTCGCGGTGGGGCAGGAAATACTTGTAGTATATTTGTCCTACTTCCAGTCAGAACTGGTACTAGTCAGTTGAAGTACGACCTAGTGCCACAGGTCAGTGTCACGAAGTCGCGATTGTCATACACGTCGTCATTGCAAGCGACATTGTCATCATCGTCACTCTCACTTCAACTTTTCTCTTTGCCAAACATGGGGGAAGGAGTCCCTGAAGTTCGCCCGCAAGCGACGCACCTTCGGCAAGTTCCTCATTGAGCACCAGGCATCTACTCTGGGTGAAGAGTCTTTTAAACCTCTTGAAACCCTGAACCTTACCACGAAGTCTTAAACTCTAAACTAAGCCCTAAGCTGCGGGGCTCTGGGGACGAAGTTGAAGTTTCTTGCTGAGTGGCACGTTGACTGAGCGAAGGTTTGGGGAGGCACTTGCTTCTACAGGCTTGGGTTTAGGGTTTAGGTGGGCGCTGGCCGGCACTTACTACAGCAGGATCTGGGATTTCGAGGTTGAGAGCTTTACACACAACACCGAGCCTCTAAACTCCCACCAAGGTCGCAAAGCCAGGTGCCCTTAAGGGAGCCAGCAGCCCCACGGGTCCCGAAAGGATTCCTTCAAGGATCCCTGCAAGGAAACCCCTTAACAGACCTCTCAAAGGGACCCCTTAAAGGACCTTAAAGGACCCCTCCAGCTTAGTGCCCACGGCTTGAAGCTCCCCTGGAAGCCTTGAAATCCTCGTTACTTCGAAGAAGACCCTGGCCTCGATAACGTCTCTCTACTCCCTTGCTGTGATAGTTGTGGTTTGGGTCGTTGTTTGTAGGTTTGATGCATGTGCAGAGCTGCGCTCTTGGTGTATTGTGAAGATTTGTAGCTGCCAGCCAGATGGTATTGTGGATGTAGGGGTGTTTAGTCTGGCGTGAATAATTGCTTACGAGAATGAGAGTCGAATTTTGAATCCAGAAAAGCACCTTCCTCGTGGGACTGGAGTCCTCGCTTGGCTGTGCCTGGCTGTAGATCTATATAGAGCCACAAAAGCGTTAAAGGGTTTTGGGGATTAGGCCCAGACCATACCCTAAGCATCCCTAAACCCCGAAAGCCCCGAAGGCCCCCAACCGCAGGTGATCCAGCACAAGATCGGTGAAATGGGTCGTCAGTGCGAGGCCCTGCAGGCCTGGATCGACTACCTGACGCTGGGCCGAAGAAAGGTTGGAAATCGTCGGTTTGCGGCTGTGTGGGTTACGCTTTGGGCTTACTGGGTTCTTGCTAAGGAGCTTGGATAGTCTAAGCTACCGTAATAGGGATCTATGGTAGATTCAGTAGATATTTGTTTTTCTCCGTGTTGGAGGTCTTCTGTCATGGTCAGCCATAGTCGTTGCGGATGCTTCCTGGAAAGCCAAGGACTTTCCAGCTCACCACGATGATCCTAAGCTCGATTTGGCAACACTTATGTTCTGAAGGCTGAGTACTGACTGCGGCGCGTCTTCCCGTTGTTTTTGCCCACAGCACCGCAGCATGCCGGGAGCTTGACCCAGGACCAAGGAGGAGCAGAACAAGAAGCTCGGCGGCTACATCGCCCTCCTCAAGGTTTCGGCCACGAAGCTTCTTGTCTGCAGCACGGAGCGATCTTGAAGCCAGATGACCCCCAAGGCCCCCCAAAACCAAAACGCTGCTCCGAAGTTGCCTCAGCCGAAGTTCCTGGTGTTTCAGGACGGTGGAGTACTGCGCCCGGGAGGCCCTCCAGGTCTTCGGCGGTGCGGGCTACACCCGCACCGGCCAGGGTGAGAAGGCTCCTCGGATCCTCATCAGGCTTCCTTACTTTGGTGTCCAAGGAACGCAGATGCCAAAAACTTCTGAAAAATGCTGAATGCCAAGCCCTGAACCTCAAGGCCGAGTCATTGAACCCCAGCGTTCAAAACCGCAAGCCCTGCGGCTGATCCAGACCTTACCTACCTGCCTGTCTTGTCCGAGCTCGAGTGTGAAAACCGCTTCTTCCTGAGCCTCAATCCCCCGAACCCGAGGTTCTGGCCCCTAGAAACCAACCCTGAACCACAACTGGAGCAAGCTTTCCGCGACCGTGGATTCTACCGACCTTAACCGCTAGGTGGAAAAAGGTGCTTTAAAAAAACCCTAACTGGAGGGTCCGAATGTAGCACCGAAACCCTAAGTTTGTCGTCGGCTCACGGGTGGCCGCGCCTCACTCCCGGAGCAGGTGGAGCGCGTGTACCGCGAGGTGAAAGCCTGGGCCATCCCCGGAGGAAGCGAGGAGCCCATCGAGCCCACGTGCCTTCGTTGTGTGTGTATGTGTCCGTGCTCTCCTGGATCAATCGCTCCTGAAGCTGAGTTTTCATGCATCAGTTTTTGTCGCCTAAATTTCGGTCATATGACTTTGGAAGACGTCGTGCGTCGTGCCACGGGCCAACCTACCATTGCAATACCATCGCCATCGTCCAACGAAGAGTGTGACCCGTGGGACTGATACCTATTGGTTTGGGAAGATGGATTGCGCTAACTACAAATCGTTGGGTTGGGCCCTTGAGCCGGCAGGAATAAAACAAGCGAGGCCTCTGTGCTGACGGTGCTGGAAATCCTGGAAAGGTTAGCTTTAACAGTTCGCGGTTTCTTCAGCACGGATGCAGTCTCGCACCTATCTGCTGCTTTGCAGTACAGGACATCGCAGCAGTTTCGTGACATCTAGCATCGGCGAGCAAGCCAAAGCTTGCACAGTCTCAGTGGCTCAGGAAGGGGCGCGCGAGTGCAATTACTTCAGTCGTCATGGTCATGATCAGACGCAGCGCTTAAACATGAAGAGGGAGAGAGGGATGTGTGATGATGTGTACTTATATGTTTATGTTAGTCCAAATAAACGAGAATATATGTATAGATATAGATATAGATATACATACATATTTGTCCGTCTGTATGTATGCACTTACATGCACGGGTGTGTCTACAACTCCAGGAGTTCGCAGATGTAGGCATGTAGCAGATAGAGAGATAGAGAGATAGACTGGTACGTAGATGCATACATACGTCCAGAAGTATACACAGATACACATGTGGAAATTCATACATGCAGCTATCCGGAGATTTTCAATGCGGAGCGTGGGCTTTTGTCCTGGGTCGCTTCAGATCGCAGTTCTACGGGTCAGCAACACCTCCGTTTCGGTGGGATGTGAAGCTGTTGGATGGAGTGAAAGGTTTGTGTGCACCGGGGTGTCGGATTGGGTTTTCACAAGGGCGACTTGCGAACAGGAGATCATGCTGAACCTGGCCGCTGGCAGCCTTCGCTTCGTGAAGAGGCCCACGCCGGATCCGAGGGACGCGACGATCAAGAAGCCACCCGGCTGGCTTCGAGAGCTGCACGTAGCGTACAGTCTAGTGAGTTTAGTGTTTGAGGTAGTCGATGCTCGGGCTGCAAGGAAACCATGCCAGCTTGGGGGAATAGTTGCTGCATCGAAGAATACCCAAAGGCCACAACGAAGAAGCCTTGTCTGGAATGAGACATTGGAGTTCCGAACATGGGACGTCAATGTGCACCCCATATTACCAGGGATGCCACGAAAGGAAGCCCCTGAAGGACTCTCCCCTAGAACGCTTATATCACCCGTTTAAGGCCTGAACTAGATCAGCCGTCTACTAAGATTTAAACCCCACACAAAGTACTCAGGCTCAAGGAAGAGTTGGAGGGACTGAAGAAGTCCTCAGGGGGCCAAGCCAGGCTTTGAGCGGAAGAGGGCCTTCTGCATCTGCTAGTTGACTCTGCGGCACGCCGGTCGCGAAGGCGTGGAAGCAGACATGGTAAATAGCTATCTTGACTCCTCGACGTGGAGCTTGTATAGTGATTCTGGCCGTTTCGGCTGTTGACACAATTGAGCTGTACAGCCATGTGGTAGCCTCTTTTCGGCACAGATTCCGTAGAGAAAAGCTGGGCAGTGCTACCTGGGAGCACGAGGGTGGAGACTTGCCCGCCCTTTGTCAAAGACAGCACCATCAATGGCTGAATTTTTTCACATCAGCAATTTTGGCCCAAGCCCTCTGCTTCGCAACTGGTTGAGTGATAGAACACCGCCAACATGACAGCCCTCCCTCCTTTCGGTGATGCCGTCCCCCTCGGCGACCCCGCCTGGTACCAGGGCTTGAACACTCCATTCTACAAGCCCACACATGCCGCTTGGCGAAAGTATGTGCGTGACTACTGCGAAGAGGTTTTGGAGCCCGTGCTGGATGACTGGGAGCAGTGCGCGGTGAAGGGCAAATTGGACAAGTGCCACGAGTACATGCACCAGACCTACGCCGAAGGCGGCAAGCGGGGAATTCTGGCCTGCGCCGTGGGCAAGCCTTGGCCCAAGGACTACACGAACTGCACAGCACCGGAGGATTACGACAACTTCCACGAGCTCATCGTGATCGACGCACCTTGTCTCGTCCTTGAGCATGCCTTCCGTTTGTTGAGTGTGTGTCATGTTCCATAGCTTTGGCGAGGGCAAAAACATTAAGAAAAGTAGCTTTTTGGTAACAATCCAAAACATACGCGAATAGATGCAGATAAGCGGGTGATACGAAGAAACGCAGACAGCAGTACCGTGAAGGAAACCACGCGCATCAGCGGCGGCATCTC